AGAAATGCAGGTTTGGGGAAATGATTTTGATTTGGGGAATGTGATGTTTGCTTTACCTGTGAAGCCCCCGGGTGAGGCCATCTGGGTGATTATCATGGCAGGGCTGGAGGTGCAGATTCAGTAATACAGGCAGGTGGGTAGAAGCTGGAGCCCTGAGTCCGAAGGGATTTTTCCCAGAAGATTGCCTGGCCCTAGCACAGCAGAAGGCACAGACAGAACCCCAGGGACACCGCCAATCAGTGGGCAAGTGGACAAGGAAGAAAGGGCCTGGGAAGGAGACAGAGTCTTGGTCACTCCACCTCACCTGTCCCAACCCTATAATTAATGTGCTATTTCCCATCTTCTGTGGGCTGGAATATCCACTGTTGGTTTAAATTGTATACAAAATGAAAGGATACAGACTCTTCCAAAATAATGTGTATGAGCTTTACAGTATCCGTTTTAGCTAAAGAAATTATTTTTACTACTAGATACTCAGCTGTATTCCAGATGGTTACTATTGCTAGAAGTGTGACTTCTGAGAAGTGAGGGGTTTGCCATAGAAGTCCCCACCACTTAACAGAATTATGATCTTCCCACAACATTTGTAGTAGAGTAAATTAGTGCTGTATAAATCCAGTTTTCCTATTGATTGCCAATATAAGGATTTGGCAGGATTAATAAAATCCCTAAGATCAATAAAGTCACTTAAGAATGTAGCAAACTTTTATAGTTCATGGGACTATATTTGCCATAATAACATTTGAAACTATGAATGATGATTAATGTTTTTCTTGTTTCACTTGCTTTGAATTTTTTTTTTTTTTTTAGGCAGGGTCTCCTCTGTCACTCAGGCTGGAGTGCAATGGCACTATCACAGCTCACTGCAGCCTTGAACTCCTGAGCTCAAGCGATCCTCCCACCCCAGCCTCCCAAAGTGCTGGGGTTATAGGCATGAGCCCTGTGCCCGGCTAATGATTAATGTTATTACAAACATTTAAATGGTGAAGTCCATGTGTCAAGGATGTCCGGATGTTTTTAAATGGTGAAGTCCATGTGTCAAGGATGTCCGGACTAAACATCTGAAAGAGATAAGAACTATTTGATGTAGATTTTCTGTGATGTGTTATCTTTTTCTAAGTTAAAAAAAAAAAAAAAAAGTCCTACCACTGCTTTTGCACTAGAACGCATAATCAAGGTTTTCTTTCTTATAAATTATTTCAAAAGGGTTTGTTTAAGAGCTCCGTTGCATGGTCCCCAAGCATCGTCTGCATTCCCTGAATTGTGCTGCATGCTGAGTCTCTGGCTTCAGTCTCATCCTATGCTGCATTTTATTCCTGCAGATTTTTTTGTCTGTGAATGTCTGTGCATCTGTCTGTCAAGCTGAAAATAACCTGACCTTCAGGGCTTCCTGAGGACTCCAAATACGTAGTGCTTCCCATAAGCCCTGCCTCTTATGCTGACAGTTAATTTGATGAACTTGGGGAGGGTGCTTAATTTCTCCTTCTAAATGCAGGTAACAGGAGGCAGGAAAGTAATGATCCAGGATGCTAAATTCAATTCAGTTGCTCAGAAGCTTAAAATTGGGAGGCTCATTAATCCCCAAACCCATCTAGAAAAACGGATGAGTGGAGTGCTTCTTCCTCCCATGTGTACCCCAGAAATGAGAGTCCCTTGAGATGAGCAGGGGCAGCACACTTCCCTTCACTGTACACAGTGGGGAGCTGCACATTTTAACCTAGAGCCAGAAGGCCAGCCTGCCGGGAACAGTGGCTCACGCCTGGAAATCCCAGCACTTCGGGAAGCTGAAGTGGGAGGACCACTTGAGCCCAAGAGTTTGAGACCAGCCTGGACAACAAAGTAAAACCCTGCGTCTACAAAAAAAAAATTAAAAATTAGCCTGGCACGGTGGCACAAGCCTGTGGTCCCAGCACTAAGGAGGCTGATGGGGGAGGATCACTTGAGTCTGGGAGGTTAAGGCGGCAGTGAGCCATGATCACATCACTGCACTCCAGCCTGGGTGACACAGGGGAGATCCTGTCTCAAAAAATGAAGTCTATTTGAAAGCTTTATAATTCCATTTTCTTTTCTTTCTTCCTTTTTTTTTTTTTTAAACAGAATCTCACTATGTCACCCAGGCTGCCGTGTGGTGGCCCAGTCTCGGCTCACTGCAGCTTCCACCTCCCAGGTTCAAGTGATTCTCCTGCCTCAGCCTCCCAAGTAGCTGGGATCATAGGCACATACCACCACACCTGGCTAATTTTTGTATTTTTAGTAGAGACGGGATTTCACCATGTTGGCCAGTCTGGTCTCGAACTCCTGACCTCAAGGGATCCACCCGCCTCTGCCTCCGAAATTGCGGGGATTGCAGGCGTCAGCCACCATGCCTGGCAACTCCATTTCCTTTTAATGGGCATTCTTTTGAAGAGAAAGCAAGGATTGGGAAACAGCCTGAAAGCAGCAAGCCTGATTATCTAATACAGCATTAATTTCATTTTTCCAATATAATCCGTCGGTTCACAGACAGCATTAATTTCAAATACCCTATCCCACGTCCCAACAAGCATGCTCACACTTCTCAAATTTTAGTGCCCCAATCTTTGATTCAGAAAACATGGTCACTGCATAAATGAATAGTTGGCAAACACAATATTCATTGCTTAATAATCTGGAAAAGACGTGAGAATGAATTTATGGTGATTTAGCACTTTTCTTTATGGAAATGCCTATGAATATTTAACTGTAATGTTTATTTTATTCTAATTCATTTGTTAATCACATGTGATTAGTTAATACGGCATACTTATGCCAAGTTTTTGTTATTGTCGTAGATTTTATGAATGATAGCAATTTCATGTGCTCTTTTATTTGAAATTAGATTGATTGCAAAGACTCATACAAAGTCGTCTGTTAATTTTAGGGCTTAGTATTTGTGCCATTGTATCAGCATATCCTCCCAGCACATACCCACACGCACACACACACACATGTCTGCCTGCACACTCACACACACACAATACATTCACACACACTCACACATATGCCTGCCTGCACACTCACACACACACAATACATTCACGCACATGCACACGTATGCCTGCCTGCACACTCACACACACAATACATTCACGCACACGCACACGTATGCCTGCCTGCACACTCACACACACAATACATTCAATACATTCACGCACATGCACACGTATGCCTGCCTGCACACTCACACACACAATACATTCACGCACACGCACACACGTACACTTTCCCCCCTCATTATCAGTGAGACAACACATTGACACATGGCCTCTAGGTTTCCAAGGGAAGGAATTTTTCTTTAAAGCCTCATTCATACTTTTGAAGGCAAATTTGATTTAGCGGAACATCCTTCTAAAATTGAAGAAGAAAGAAAAGTAACAAAACAAAACAGAAGAGGAAGGGGGAAAGCATATAGATAGTAGAAACCAATTCTACAGATTTCTTTTTTTACCCCAAAGTTTTAATAGTATGTGAAATAGCTTTAGGAAAATTTCTTCTTATCAATTTTTTCACATTTGCCAAGTGGCATGTTTGTTAAAGTCAGCCAAGCTAAAGTTTTGGGGAGTATGTGGAAGACCCCCTGGGCTCAACATGCTTTCCTACACAGGTCTCGTGGCATTCCCTTTAGGAATTCACTTTTCGGGTTAACCATTTCCTCATCCCACAGTATAAGTCAGTCCTTCAGTCCACTTTTCTTTTAGGACAGGAAAGACCTAGGGCATTGAGCAAAGAGGAAAAGGAGAGTCAACCAGGCGCAGTGGCTCACGCCTGTAATCCCAGCACTTTGGGAGGCCAAGGCGGGTGGATCACCTGAGGTCAGGAGTTCAAGCTCAGCCTGACCAACGTGGTGTGAACCCCTGTCTCTACTAAAAATACAAAAATTAGCCGGGCGTGGTGGTGCGCGCCTATAATCCCAGCTACTCAGGAGGCTGAGGCAGGAGAATCGCTTGAACCCAGGAGGTGGAGGTTGCAATGAGCCGAGATCACACCACTGCACTCCAGCCTGGGCGATAGAACAACTCAACAAAACAGAAAAAAAAAAAAAAAAAAAGGAGAGTCTAAGAGAAGTCCAAGTGGGTACCCAGAACAGACTTTACCTACATCACTATCCTCTCTATCAGAGATGGCCCTGCTCCCCACAGACTGAGAGGAATTTATGTTGTATAGTAGGATTCTGTATTGGTCAGGATTCACTTCTGTAGACAGTGGCTTCAACAAGAGAGCTTATTTCACTCTCATACAAAGGAAGTCTAGAACAGACAGTCTAGATGGGTAGAGACTCAATTTCCTTCTATGCTCTTGCTCTAGCATGCACAACTTCCTCTTCTTGGTCAAAGATGGCTGCTCACATTCCAGCCATTGTGTCCTCAGCCCACCATTAGAAAGGAGAGAAGGGCACAGACCCTTCCTTGATGGACACTTCCCGGAAGGACCAGACAACACAACAGCTTGCCTTCTTTGGCCAAATATTGGCCACAGAACCACACTTATCAAGGGGAATATAGTCTTCCTGCGGTTATGGGCTTGGCAAAAAAAATCAGAAGTCCTGTACCAAGGAAGACGACGAAAAGGGAGAACTGATGCTGAGGGATAACCACGAGGCTTTGCCACAGGATCGGATGACATCTTGCTAAAATAGCTTACTTCTCTGTGACCTTATTTTTTCTTTTTTAAAATGTTTTAATTAAAATTTTTTTTTTTTAGAGACAGGGTCTCACTGTGTGCCCAGGCGGAGGTGCAGTGGCACAATCATAGCCCTCTGCAGCCTTGAACTCCTGGCTGGGCTCAAGCGATCCTCCTGCCTTGGCCTCCTGAGTAGCTGGGAGTAACCTGAGTTCTCTTATGCTTCCTGGATTTCTTTCCAGGCCGAGACATAGAAATCACAAATGAATAAATGTGATCAAACTTGAAGGCCATTTCTAAAGAAAAGCTTCAGCTTGGACCCCATTCTGTGATTGCCTGTTAATGCCTCCTTGTAATTTCAGCGGAAATTCTAGAATTGGCTGGGAATGCCGCGAGGGACAACAAGAAGGCCCGGATAGCCCCGAGACACATCTTGCTGGCAGTTGCCAATGACGAGGAGCTCAACCAGGTATGTCTGAAGCATTGAGGGAAGCCGCAGAATGGGTTTGCCAAACACGCTAATGTGTGGGCCTGGGTGGTGGCCATGAGTCACTCCCGCTGCAGTTCCCAATTACCTTTATACAAAAAAAACTCAGGCCATATAAAAGAACAAATTCTGCTAGCTCTATCATTCAGATTCAAAATAAAATTGCTTCTGGCATAGATCTCATTGTATATTCTAGGTCTTATCAGACCTTTCTTTCCTCTTTAAAGACAAGTTCTGTGTTGCTGAGGAAGGTGTGGCACAAATGTAATTCTCTTCACTTTCTTCACCCAAACTGAGCTGACAATTTTTTCTGATGAAGGCAGAAGACTTTATATTTTAGAACTGACCCTTTATATTCTGAAACTGACCCCAAAGTCAAGTGAATAGCCCCTCTTCACCCACAGTATATGTAAGGTGGTAGTAAATAGTACAAGAATTTTTATTTCTGTTTCTTTTCATTTATCTTTATTTTCTAATCTCATTCTTCTCAAAATATAGTGAAGAAGCCTTTTTTATGGCCAATCCGTCATGGACTGATAATTTCCAAAAATGTAATAAAAATTATTAGAAAAATTAAAAAGCAAACTACAAGCCATAATTTTTTGTTATCAGATTCAACAGATACACAATAACTGTCAGTTTGCTATGAAAGTTTCTAGATGCTTACTATACTTCTCTTGTCACTGATGGGTAACTGCCAGTTCATGGGTGAGCCATGGTCGCAGACCATGTTTGGGGTAGTGTTGGTTTCGAATCTGCAGAATATATTAGTGGAGTAGTACATGTCTGTTCTTTACTGATAAATTAACTTATATTGATTGGGAGGAGCATGGCCAGACGTACTTTACTGATGGAAAGTATGTGCAAGCTTGTGGAGACGACTGGTTCGTCATTAACTGAGTCTAGTCTTTGCAATGACCTTTGAACCTCATTTTCTCAAGCTGCGATCCCCACATGGGAAGCTCTTTATCCTCTGTTGTGTCTGGAATTCCAGAGCCCTGGGCAACATCCCTGGTTTCAACTTCTATATCCCTTCTATTTTGCTTTGCTTTGTTTTGCTTTCTGTACAACATCACAGGATGCCTTGTTTAACCTACAGAGAAATGCTCTACAACTGAAAGTGGGAAAAGCCAATTAAATGGTGTATTATGCAGTTTCTTTAGGAGAGCGGAGGCCACATTTAACAGTTAGAACTGTATTAAATCCAGGCCAGGCGCAGTGGCCCACGCCTGTAATCCTAGCACCTTGGGAGGCTGAGGCAGGTGGATCACCTGAGGT